TTGCTATTAATTAATAATATTCCATGCCTCTTTAAATGCAGCATCCACCAAAATATGAAGGAAACCGCATCATTTCAATGCCCAAGGACTTGTTTGTCAAGATTGAAGAGCGCGTGGAAGAATAAGCTTTTTTTTGCTGTCAACTTTTTCTGATTATCTATATATAGAGCTTTAGGTATAGCACAAAAATCAGAGATTATTTTCTTCAATTCACAATGAAAACATTGAATGAATTACTGTGATTTTGTTTGACATTTCTTGTAGACGTGCCAACACCTCAAATGCAAAATTCAGACTCACTTCTAAAAAATCACGAATCACCCCAAACATATCACTTGGGAGATAAAATCTTCCAACCGTAATGGTTGCCAAACCAATGGGGATAATGAGTCACAAATCAATTGGAGAAGACACCAAGGACACCCTGGATTAAGGGAAGAATACATCCAAAGAAACTTCCTTGCAGGAGACAAAACTGGCCGACTGACCACCTCAATGGCGCCTATCTGAGCTCAATGAGTTTGCTGGGACAAGCCCAATGAAGTTGCCAAGAAAAAGGCTTGAAGAGTTTGCCTGCTCAAAGGAAGAGCCTTAAGAATTTGCTGGGCTATGGAAAGCCCAATGAACTTGCCAAGAGAAAAACCTGATAACTTTGCCAGAGAAGTCCTCAACAATCCCTTGGGGAAAAAAGGGGAGATATTCACAAATATTGTACAAAAGAACACCATGGTCTTGACAAGCTGAGGCCTCACCTGACACTGAGAATATTGGTACAACACCAAGTCAAACTTCACAAAATTTGATTTCACCTTCAGTAGTAACCCTTTTATAGATGTTCTGATAAAAAGTTCCTAGTTGAACAAAATACTGTAAATTCATCCTTTGCTTTCATGGAAAACGCTTTAGAATTTTTTTACAAAGTATTTTGAAAGGGATTCAACTTTTTGCGGCTGTTTTTAGTTTAATTTCTAGATATTTCATGAAGCAAAGAAATCATACTTTTGTGGCCATTTTTTTATGCATGGTAATTTAAAATGTGTCAATCATCCAAATGACTTCAAACTGCAACAATTTTTATTATCATGAATTATGGACATGCCTGCAATAATTTCTCAACACATAGAATTCCGGAAAAACGCATGATTCTTTGCATACTCATAATCACTCTTCTCACAAGTCTTCGTGCCAAAACTCATCCTGATCTGGTAGAAAGTCAAGAAATTCTCATAAAAAACAAAAACCATCAGTGCAGAAAATCGACTGGTTTAAGCAGCACATTGTACGAACAATTCCACAGAAAAAAAACATTCCAAAAAACAAAACGATTTCATAAATCAAAGAAAAAAATAGAAATGACAGGGACGGAATTTTATTCAATAACAGCATCAAAAAAGCGCAAAGGATTCCCGACAAAAGGAAGAAAAAAATGTTTCTGCATATATTTCATCGTCCAACAATGTCTTTGGTTTCATCGAATCCGGAATCCAACAACCTGAACATCGGATCTTGAAATCCCCTCAGGATATCCGGTGTGGCTTCATTGATGACTTTCCTGGACAAATCCGAGTCTTCCAACATCCCGTTCAACAAGGTCACTTTTTTTCAAAAATGGAGAGAAGGAATTTTTGAGGATACGGTAGTGAAATAAACTTCTTCCCAGAATCCCGAGGTTTTTCACAGCATAACATCGTGAAAAAATTTGGCATTCGCTGAACCAACAGTAGAGTAACTGGTTTTCGATTACAGCCCCTATTTTTTGCTTCGTTCTCATATGCTAATTGAAAGATTTTTTTTCGTCATCATTGAACTCTTCTTTCTTTCTGAAAATGATTTTTTATTGCAAGTTGCCAAGGCATTGAAAAAAATGGGCAGGAAAAAAACTAAAAAACGTTAGAGAAAATTTAAAAAACACATGTACTATCTCTCCCTGAAAATACGACCAGATTCTCGACATTTTTGAGCAAATCTGGGAAAATGATAAAGAATTAGGGTATATTTTATTTTCAGATGAGAAAAGCTATGAAAGACTTGACAAAACACAATTCCAAATTTTCTTTGGACAGTTCTGCACGTAAGGAATATTTCTGTTTTGAATTGTAAAGGCTGATCAACTCCTAATCAATTGCTTTAAAATATGAGCATAATTAAGATGCGTTAAAATCCTCCTTCGGGATTTTAAAAATATTTTGATCACAATTTAATGACTATTCTCACGTCATTCGCATAAGTTGTACTCATCTTTGAGTGCGGAAATAAAATAAAGTCGCGTCGCGTTTTTTGCGGGAAAGTGGTCATGTTTTTTTTCAATTTTTATTATTGATTAAATTTTGACTTACACAATGTGTTTGTGAGCAGCTTCTCATTCCTCAGCTTGACTCTGGCGTTGTCAAAATTGAAAGATAGTTGCACTCCGTCCACAACTGCTCCATGGTCCGGGTCATTGGTGTAGGCAGCATTGATTGTCAAAGTCGGTGAATCTTTGGAAATTTTTTGAGTATATATAACAGTACCACTTTTATTTTCTTTCAAACTAAAATACTACTTATACTCGAGAACAGTATTTTCTGAGCAATTGTATAAGTTTCTCTCCTGAATTAACCTCTTACTGTCACTGCAAGTAATTTTTACCAATAATGAAAAATACTCTAAATCAATTTTGTTTGCGGTAAATTGCGGCAAACTTGAATTAAAATCCGAATCTGTAAATTACAGGCACAGAATTAAGGTCTGTTTTTTTTTTAAATTTGTAATGAAAACTCAATCTTTCTTGGGAAATCATGAACGGATGAGTCGTTATACACCCAATTTTATTTGATTTATTTTTCATGGTATAATTTATCTTGTGCTTATAATTCTTCACGAGAGTTCATCGCTGTTTCTTGACAATAATGTGATTGAAGATACTTTTTATGAATTTTTGGCTCTTCATGCGACATGAGGGAGAATATATATGTAATTTTCTTCGTCAATTATTTGTAGCATAGGCCACAATTAAACAGGAATATTTAATTTATTTTTCTTGGGCATTCAGTTAAGGTTTCTGATGCAACGCATATTTAAAAAAGATTATTGAATAACTGTACACCGAAATTTCTCGAGAAATAATTTTGAAACACGGCATATAGGACTGAGCTGAAAAACAAGTATTACTCATTAAAAAATGTCTTTGGCGCGTGGAAGAAAATTCAGCCTCGTCAATTTTGCACAAATTTTCAGCGAAAAACAGAGCAGAATTTCGTTACTTATGGCATAAATGTTTTTTCTGAACAATAATTGTTTTTTTTCGCTCAATTCTAAATTTCATCCCGAGAAATTTCACTAGACCCCTCGTATTTGTTTCAATAAAATGTTGATGCTGTATATTCCAAAGTTAAAAGAGCATAAGTATCTCCAATTCAGATATACGTGTTCAAATACTGTATTTTCAAAGCACATTATTTTTTACTTCTTGCATTTGTCAGCCAAAGGGTTCAATTAAAGGTATGCAGGGAATGATAAATTGTAGATAGATTCTTGAAAAAATGAGTACTCAGGGGGGGGGGAGGATATTTGCACGCAAGTACTCACCAATTTCAGCGTCGAAAAGTCCGCTGACTTCGGAAGGAGGACCGTCGTAGAATGGAATAACAGACCTGAGCAAATATGCCTTAGCTTCAAAGTCTCCAAGAATTCTCAATCCTTTGGGAGCTCGCATTTTTATTTGCATCAATCCATTCTTCTTTGAGGGCCTTTTGAAAAATAAAAACATGAGAGTATGTTCGTTTCATTACCAATTTTTAGATTCCGGTTTATATACCGTCATTACCCAAGTATCACGCGCAAAAGTTTGAGATCCGCAGCAAGGTTTTTGGGGAAATTTTTTGGGAAAAAAAAGATCCTTGCCGAAGAAAGATCATATATCCCCAATTTTTTTAAATTTTTAATCCCATAATCGTTCCTTCTATGCAGAAATCAATTCCTGTGAGCTTAGGAAAAGGAAGATTGACAAAATTGTTCAAACTGATGTAAATTAATGTAACAGACGCAAATTTGATAACTTTCTTCAAATTGCAGTATTTGATGATATCTGGGCCTTACTCTTTGAATGAGTAGCCAGGAAACTTGGAAGGAAGGGTTGAATTGCACAATTAATCTTTCACTTCCTCTTGAAATGCATCAAGTTACATTTTGATGGCTTTTCTCTTTCTTTTGTCATTTAAGTAACAGCCAAATGGCCAGGCCTACAGAAAATTCGACTTGAGGGGGTTAGACGGAGGAAGCCTTTGAGTTTTGAAGGTAGTTAATACATTGTTTCTAAGGGAAGTCTAAAGAAGCTCACTGAAGAAGCTCACTGAATGTTTCTAAAGAATGTTTCTAAAGAAGCTCACTGAACGTTGACATTGGGCTTGAGGAATGCCTCTGAGAACCCGTGAACGTAGAGGTTGCTGATGGTGCCCGTGAAAACGCTGGAGTCGCTGATGGTCGCCTTAGTCACATACAATGGCTCCATAGATGGCACTCCAAGCGCCGGGAGTCCGTCCGCTGTTCGCAGTTTCTCAAAGGATGCTGCCAGAAGGTCCCGGAGGCAGGCGGACATATCTGACTTGTCACTGGCCAACCAACGCGCTCGTGAATCTGCGCAGGCTCTCAGTCTCGCTTCCGTTGCCCCGGGCCCTGAGTATAGAAATAAATAAAATAAAAATTAACAACAACTCAAAATTGAGGATTTCTGCTGTAAAGTTCAACCAAGAATTTAAGCGGGATGCAGGGTTAGTTTCAATAACGCACTTGCGTGTGAGCAAAGAATTGGCCTGAAGTGACTTAAAATACGACAGTATTATTTCAGTATTTAATTTAGAATTACATCACTTCGTTGGAGCTAAATTTAATTTCTGTTGCTTTTTATAATCGAACGTGTTCCATTTCATTCTGAAAATGTGTTTACCCCGTATTTAAGTGTTGCATAATGACATGTTCTCGATTGATTTTACAAATAGAAAAATGTATCAAATTACAGTGGGGTCATGGTAAATTTGATCTGATTAGATCCAGAGCTGGCTATTTCGTGCTTCGCCCTTTTAGAGGGATTCTTCATCCACTGACTTCAGTATAACAAGATGTGTGATTTATCCTTAAATTTTAAACAAATTTCCATTTCAGAATTTTTTTTTTTCAATTTTTGCCGAACAAGAAATGCGATTAATGATCTTATAAGCTAAGTCTATCCGCGTGGACATTTCCAGCATATGAACACAATTTCAGAAGAAAATACGTCTGAAACTTGCGGTCTCAATCAGTTACCATTTTTGTGCTCGACAGCAGTAATGGGTAAAAATATGAGTTAAAAGCATTTTAAAGCTAAAATAAAGTTATTCTTCCAAAATAGGGATAACTAATTACAGAATCTTTTTTTCACATAAAAAGGGCCTAAATTTTGTTAGATACAGTGCATGACTTCGTATTATTCTACAGCTGTACAGTACTTGGGCCCGATGAAGAAAGAGTGGATCAGCTTGCATCATCTACAAGACAGATAAAAATCCCCAAAAGAACCCTCCGAATTAAATAAAAAATTAATCTTTAACAAGATTTGTACCTTGATCATCCTCAGCAGCTGATTGAGGTGCATTGAATTACAGCTGAACCTCTACAACTTGAACCAATCTCAGTCAAATATTGTATCTCCAAATTAAAAATTTTTTTCGAGTTCCTTATTCATGAATTCCCTTGGAAACAATTCATTAAGAACCTCCCTAACTCTTCAAATCTGCATGATTCGAATTTTCCGGAGAATTTTGGCTCCAATTCGAAATCTCCCCAACTCGAATCTTTTTTGCTGGTCTCTTAAAGTTCGAATTAAAAGAGATTCGACTCTACCTATGTATTTAAAAAAATTAATAATAATAGCCGAAAGCTTGCCAAATTTTCTTCATCTATTTCTTTACGCACGGATTTTTGGTACGCGTCCAAGAATTTACAATCTACAAATCCACTTGCTTCAAGTTGCATTCAAGCAACGCATTTTTAGTCCCCGTGTAAATTTAAATCATTATTAAATTATTACATCATGCTTGAAAACAGTTTCCCAATTTTTGGGCACTTGAAAAAATGCAGTCTTCACGCGGTTTTTTTTTTTTTTTTTTTACTCTACACCAGCATCGTATATAGATTCTGAGGATTTATATTTTTCCAAATATTTAGGATAAGAACTGCGTCGCACTTCGGCGCGTGTGACAGATCACAGATTGAAAATTGCTGTTTGGTATATTGCCCATCGTGGAATCAAGGCCTAATTTATGCTTCGACTATCTAATGATTTTATAAAAATGAAAATTTTTTTAAACCTTGAGAAACATTGGTGTTGAGTCCGGCAAAAGTATGCGGGACAAGCTGGTCTTCGTTTCGCGGTGCTGCTCCGGCAGCGCAACAACAGACAGCAGCGATTGAAATCAACACGATCAACAGCATTTTTGAGTTCGCACTTCGCAAAATTCGCACCCTGTGAACGAAAAAAAGAGAGAAAACGGAAATATTACACCACATCCAGTTGCTTCACTTCAAAGAGAATTGAAGCCCAGGTTATTCCTATGGGACACGGATGATGTTGGTTGTTGATTCTGAGAAAAGAATCACGGTTTTCCCCAGTCATAGTTTATTCGTATTCCGGCTCCCCAGTTCTGTATGGTCAAAATTTGTCACGCTTGTTTTTGAGTTGACTGTCACGGTTATTTTCGAGGGTTTCCAAGGAAAAACTTCGCAGTTACGGTTTTCTTTTTCTTTGAATCCTTTCATGATTTATGATTCTTGATGGTTTACCTGCTGTTGGAAGGTACTCTTCCGCTTTTTTAGGGGGTTTTATTTTCTGAATAGGAGCCTTCGGGGTTTCATCATACCCTTCAGGCGATGGGTTTTCCAGAAGTCTTGGGAATCGTAATTGAAGGAAGACAAAAATTCAAGGATAATTTTCCAGTGAGTCATTCATTCACAGGAATTTTCCGCTTTCAATCAGCTGATTATAGCGAGGAAAAATCAGGCTTGCTCTTATGTTAATCTAAAAAGCTGAGGCATCCAGAGTATTTTTTTTTTGTTGTTGAAGCAATCAATTTTACAACAGTTTTTTTTCAGTTTTTCGGCAAGCGCAATCCAAGCATATTATTTCTGGAATAGCCAACTGTTGCAGCTGATTTCATTGAATTGCAAGTTGCATTGCATACTCATCTTGCAAGATTAGAGCAGAGTACTGTATTTTGGTTTTCTGAATGAAACATAAAACTAAGATAGAAAGCTAAGAGATATTACTGTGTATATAGCAATCATCAAGCTGCACTAATTTTCGTGCTGAAACTGCAATAAAATTTTCCGGGTTTTTAAAAAACAAATTCTATTCATTTTTTCCTCATATATTTCCAGACATTGCCTTACAGTACTCTCTTCAGGACATCTTTTATAAAGAAAAATGCTCCTTCAAAAATCTCCCAAATGCATCAAAAATGAAGGCAATTGTGAACAGATGGTTGGATTACTTTAGGAGCATTGTTCAATTACTCTGCATTTATTTATCATTGTTGAGAAATGAAGCATATAGAGATGTGCTCAAAAGTTTAATATATGATGGAAATGATAGAAAATTGGGTTTTAAAAATGAGCACGGACCTGTGAAGGTGTGTGTGTGCATTGTTTTTTTGTTGTTGTCGGACCATTTATCACCAAAATTTCGGAACAGGTGCTGTTGATAAATGTTCGTAAGTTCTCCCGCAAGAGATGTATGTTAGGATATGTCATAGTTCGCAACTATTTTGATGAATGACTAAAAATAAATAAAAGTGAACAACATATATTTCTCTTGCATAAACCTCCCCTGCTTCAAATTCCCTGATGTCACTCAAATATGATCAGAAACAAAAATATCACTATAGAGAAAACATGACTTCATGTTCCCTTGAAAATCCAAATTATTTCAAATGCATTGATGCATTTTTGTTTTACTAAATTTCCCATGCAAAAAGCTTAGCATTTCTTCTTTACCATCAACCTTCAATGCTGCCCGAGTTAGAGTTTACCTTTTTCCGCCAATCCACCAAAATACCTTTGACACACGCACTTTCACGGCAAAGATGCCTTATGCTAAGGTGAAAACGAGTTATTTTAAACAAAATTTAACATAACATGTTCCAGCAAGAAAACTGCAGGGACCCTTTAAAACTGGTTTAAATGAAATATGCACTATTACGGAATTTTACAGTATTTATACGTCAGAAAATTGTGAAGCAAAGCACAATGCAAAAAAATTGCCTCCGGGCAACCGAGTGCTCAGGCAGTGACCATAAGACTGGGGAAAACCTGCGGTGTGAGTCTGAGTCAAAGACCTTTCTTTCTCGCTCCTCGGGGGGTTTCGATTCTTTTTCGCTTCTTAGATGAACGCGTTATTTTTCTCATGAGGGAGAAAAATGTATTATGCTGATGTATGCGGAAATTCTCAGGTCCCTCGCTGGGAGAAAGCCATATAGTTGTGGTCGCACGTCCTGCGCGTGCTGAGACAGCAGAAAGAAATACAAGGGTCGTTTTTCTTTTCAGCCATGGACTGTAGGTTGTTTGAGATGTCCAAGGGATGGGTTCTTTTCTTCCAATCGTTTCCCCAAGGCAGGGTTGTTGTTTCTTCTTTTACGAGGGATGGAATATTGCACTATTTTTTTCACACGGTTTCACACGCGTCATCCTCTTATTTTCAAGGCAGGAGAAATTGTTCAACCACCGTGACATTGCGTTTCCTGAAGCGTAATGATGATGAAGGTGAAAAATCATTGAAGCGTTTCTTTAAATCTTGAAAAGAATGGTTGAACAATGGATTCATGTACTGTACTGTAAAGTAAAGATCTTGTCACAACAAACTTCTGGGGACTTCAGAAAACATTCGTCATACTGAATAATTTATTGTACAGCAACAAAATTTTCAAATTTAATGAGTGCAAACTAATGGCACATCAGACCAGCCTATAGCTAATTATAGATGTTGCTTTTCTGGCCTTCTCAGATTTTTTATTATTTTCCAAAAAACTTAGTGATTTGTAAAAGATTACCTTCAATCATGCATTCCATGGATCACAATCAATCTCATCCTGGGAGGATGTTATAAGGAACAACTTGGACGCATGTTTGTCATTAAGTACAGCTTCCATGCATATAAGAACCATTTGGGATTTGAAATGTCTGACTCTCTGTGCAAGAGATTTCAATTCAGGCAGGAAAAGTGGGAAATCCTGCAGTAATATCTCATCAAAACAAAACAAATTCTCAAGACAGTGCCTGCCTTCATCAGGAAATTTCTACCTGAAGAATCTATTGAACATTCCTCAAAAAGTTTTCAGTACTGCAATAAAAAGTTTGTTATAACAAGATTGTTTTAATTTATATTCTATGTGCTTACTGCCAAGACTCAAGAAAAAGTTCATTATAAAACAAGAAAAATTTGTTAAAAGATACATTTTACTGTCTTCAATCAGGCTTTTCTCTTGAAGAGTGGAATGAAGAAGTCCAATTCTCTCACAAAATATGCAGCAAAATTGATTAGTTCACTTGATCAAAAGAAAAATACTGACGCGTGAAATTGCAATGCCACAGAAAATGCATTGAAAGTGAAAATGGAATTTGGAAGACTCTTGACGCGCAGAAATAAAAAGCCCACGATTATATATTGCCTGGGATTCCAGTCATTTGAAAGAAATTTACGCAGACGCAATGCTTGATAGCACAAAAAACAAGTCCAATGTATTTTCCTTCTATCCCACAAGTTCATTAAAGCTAGTACTGTATTAAAGTCATCAATAGTAATGACCAGTTTGTCGTACTGGGGTAGACGAAATAATGTCGTTAACTGAAACGTTTTCTTCTCTCATAGATAGATCAAAACATGATTATTTCAACATTCTGTTGTCTAAGATTGTACTGCAATTGAAACAAAAGGGTGAAAGACCCCCATGACCATAAATTCATTCTAGACCAAATCATTGCAGTGATTCCACTGGTATTAAGAAGTGCATCTTTCCATGTACAGTACCATTCTGTGTAAACACAAAAGAGGTCCAAAGGCAGTGACATCTACAGAAAATAATTTCAACCACCGTGCGCTTCAAGTATTTCCGGCGTTCTTCCGCTTTTTCAGATGGTCTTGGGCAGTTTAATGCTAGAAATCATGAGTGATATTCGGAGTAATCTTTAAAAAAAACTTGAGTACTGTAATAATATTCTGCATCTGTGTTCCGAGATGAACAGCCATGAATTACGTACATGTTGATTTTTGCAGATGAAAATGAAAAGATATTTCATTTGACAGCATAATATGTAGATTAGACTTTTTGTGGTCAGCCGAAGTATCAGAATGGCCCCCCAAAACCTTGTGATCCCACAAATTGCAAACCATTCGCGAACAAAATCAACCGTTTATGCTCCTCAACCTCAATGACTCACACCACAAGGAAAACATTTTGGTGCAATATACCACAGACCATCACACGCTGATAAATATCGGTTCAGCGAATCCCACGAGCAATCATTTCCGCGCAGTTTCATAATTCTGCTTGAACCAGTCCACGGTTTCTTTCACAGCAACGCGGAAATCCGTGAATTTGAAATCTGGAAAACTTTTGCACATTTTAGCGTTGCTCGCAGTCTTCTTGAATTGACCATCAGATCGACTCGTATCGAAAACCAGATCAGACTCGGGATTCAATCCACTAGCTTCCGCAATCGCTACAGCAGCATCTTTGATTGACACTTCATCCTCCTCGCCAACTACTCACACAGCATGCGCAAGTACAAGAGAAAAAAGAAAGAGCGAATGATGAGAATCGAATTAATAAAATGGTTTCCGCAAGTCACGAAACAGTTGGAAAAGACGCGGTCATAATTTGACAGGTTCAACGTTTTTAAAGAAAAAGTCGTTGTTCGCATTCAAACTCTGCAACAGACGTAATGAAACCAGTGTTTTTGCACATGACATGAAAATAATCTGCGTATGGAATGCTACATTCCACACACTTTCCAGCTGAATACATTCCTCCGACACTCCGATTCTTGTAGAACCAAACTTCAAGTTGACAGTGAAAGAACATTGCGTATCGATGAGCATCAACGTTACCTAAAAATCCTACCCGAAAGTCTACACGAAAAAAATGGGCTTCAAAAAGTATTCAAGTCCCCTAAAAGCATTAGTATCATAAGTATGTTCATAAGTTCATAACAATCGTACCGCAGAAATTTTCAAAAGCATCAACATGATTTGTACTGTATCAGAGACTAAAAAATTAAAATACAGTAACTGAAACACGAGTATTGTACTTATTCCGCATTTTAATTCAAAAATCCAGATCACCTGGTTCAAGTTTTGGGGTGACATCGTTCACGTTTTTATTGAAGATGTACT